AAAAATGCCCCTCAACATCTGGATGGTGACACTGCACCTCGCACACCTGCCGGAGCAATTCTGCAACATCTGGAACCACCGTGCCCCTGCCCTGCTGTAGCCATTGGACACCAGTCCTGTAGAGCCCCCTACAAAATATAAAATAATAACGCGTATAATATAAAAATAAAGACATAAATAAAATAAATCCCACTTTCTCACTTTTTCCAGCCACATACAGGCAAATCCTACCCTATTCTCCCCACTCTGAGCCATATTTTTGAGCCACGGAAGGGTTTTACTCTCAATCGTGCTCATAAAATAAGAGTCGGGCTGGGCAGCGGCGTTAAAACCGGCAAAATTTTATGGAAAAGTGTCCAGGGATCGGAAAAATCCACATGGGGATGCTGAACTGGGTTGTCACCGGCACGTGCCACCGCGAAAAGGTCCTTTAGTCTTTATTGGGACCTGCCTTCGTTTCTCTAATGAAATTAACGAGGCCACGCGTGTGCGTGATGAACCGTATTCACGTCAATGGGGCACAGGCCACACCGTGCAGATTCAGCTCTTTAACGAAGGGGAAAAAACAATTAGCCTGGCATAAATTAAACCTTTTGTAGTGCATAAAATTTATTTTATGACTGAATACGTTAAACCGTTTCCACCTTTCCCAGCCATTTTTTTCTTTGTCGGGGCTTCAAGGACTGCACGATCCCACGGAAGGGGGTATGTTAGAATGGATTTTTTTCTTCCTCCTCGACTTTCCCAATCCGAAAGGAGTAGAAAAGTGGAATTACTGTTTAATTTGGAATGGCAACAACATTTTTCCGGGTGAATATTGCAACGGTTTGCAAAGAAAAAGGTTTTTAATCGTGTGGCCGCCATTTTTTTCTTTGTCGGGGCTTCAAGGACTGCACGATCCCACGGAAGGGGGTATGTTAGAATGGATTTTTTTCTTCCTCCTCGACTTTCCCAATCCGAAAGGAGTAGAAAAGTGGAATTACTGTTTAATTTGGAATGGCAACAACATTTTTCCGGGTGAATATTGCAACGGTTTGCAAAGAAAAAGGTTTTTAATCGTGTGGCCCCAACCGTTTGCACATAGGATGAGGTATTTATTCTTCTGATGATGAGGAAGATACCTCCAGCCTGGTTATGATCGACAGCTCCTGGGATATTGTCACCAACACGGCCCTCAACATCTCACCGTGGTGGCACCAAACCACACAGGGACCCCATCTGCAGTCTGGTGCTCTCCAAGGATGAGCCAGACCCTCTTTGTGGTCCACATTTCTCCACCGCGGAGCCCTGGATGGAGCCATCCTGCTCCCATCTCCCCCATTGGGAAGAGCATCTACAAAGGGAAAAAAAATATATCAAAATACATAAAACTCATCTTTATTATTAAGAGGTTTAACCCAGATTGTGCTTGGGTAGCACGTGTTGTCAAACTGGAGCTGGATTAGGTTGGGACAGGTTTCTCCCAGCTCACCCACCCTGCAAACCCCATCATTTCCTATCAAGGACATCCCAGCTGGTGAGGAGAACTTGGAAGAAACCCTCACCAAGCATCGGGGATAAATAAATCTAGACGGGACCCAGGATAAAAATGGAAAAAAAATCAAATATACGCCGGTCCCTGGCTTGGCAGAAGACGGCCGAGAGCGAACAAGCCCCAGCATGAAGTCACCCTCTCCTGCTCCCTGCCCCGGGGCTGGCTCCCATCCCTTGACAACTTTTACTCATCCAGCAAGAAAGGTGGCTTGGATGCCTTTTTCCCCGGGTGGCGCAACGGGGATCAAAGAGGTTTTCCTGGAGCCAGCCCTGGCTCCAGGGGTTTCCGCTCCCGGCCGCAAACTGGGCGGCATCTTCCCAGGGGAACGTGTGGCCCCGCTACTCGCCACGGCCTGGGATCTCAAGAACTTTTTTTTTTGGCCTCAAAAGCCAACATTTTTGAAAAAAAACCCTTGTGTTTCTTCACTCTGTGTGAAGCCCCCCGTCCAACCAGCCTCCTTCCCAACCAGCTTGGACCAGGTTGAAGGTTGTTGAGATGGTTTTGAGGCTCAGCTGCGATGAGGTGGTTGATGGCCACGTGGACAGGTGAAAGCAATAGACCCACTTGCACCAAGAGGGCTGGTGGGGAGTGGGTTGGGTGAGAGCTTCAGGATGAGGGTTGTGGGCCACAGCATGCAGTGCTTTGCAGGACCTGGCTTCTGCACCCAGCTTTGGAGCTCAAATATCTCTCTAAATCCAGCTGTGGGGCGCTGATGGGTAAGAGGCAGCTGAGAAAGGCTGAGTTTTGGGACTAATTTAATTATTTAATTGCAGGGGGGTGGGGGTGGATATCTCCTAGAAGGGAGATTTTCCTACACCATTTAAAAACTAATGTATTTGGTCCCATCTTCCACCTGAGCCCTGCAAAGCATTTTTTCCCCCTAGCAGGTCTCCTTGCCAAGGAGATGCTGGCTGGGGCTTCTCCTCAAATTCAGCCTTTGGCTTAAAACTTCATTTCCCAGGGTGTCTCTTGGGCTGGGAGCCTCCAATCAGAGCAGAGGAAGTCTTTAAATAAGCTGCCTGTAGGGGGGCATTGCCATTAGGGAGGTAGCTGGGTAAGGGGTGAGGTCTTCTCCAGTCTGGGTGGCTTTGAGGAAGTATGTCCTGCTGTGCTGAGTGAGCGTGGTCCCACCAGTAGCTGTAAGTGTTCGTGGCTCAGCAAAAGCTGGTAAAAATATGCAGGGTTTTAATGTGGTTTTTACCCCTTGAAAAGTTTGCAGGGTGTCTCATGGTGATCTGTAGCTTGTCGTTCCCTCGAGAAGTCTCCTTTTGTCCCTCAATGGTAAAACTTTTTCATGGGTGGGGACCATCTTCGTGTTGTTTGAATATGATCTTTATTTCTTGCGTTATCTGAGGCCTTGACTTTCCAGGAGGAGTTGAGTTTTTGGGGCCGGGGGGGTCTGGCTCCTCCAGACATGAGAAGGACAAGAGAGGTAATAGCTGGGTGATGGTGGCCCAGCTGCCTGCTTTTGTGGGGAGGGTCAATATCTCCATTTTTCTCTTGTTTCTTTGTTGTTTTTTTTTAAAAAAAAATATTTTCCATTGTCATGATGTACCTAGGGCTTGGATAATAAATTGCTGCCTACCCTGGGTGCAAATCCACCCCAGCACACAACCTCTATCTATGTACCTGGAGCTGTGAATTCCTATATTATGGGAAGGGGCTTTCCTTTTATTTTGGCAGCAATTTTATTTTTACCATCTCTATCAGCAATTCAGTTCCTGAGCTCAGAGCTTTTCCATCTGATGTTCTACTTAAGTCATTCAAGCTGAGCTTGACCCTATGGGTAGCTCTAGGCTTCAGGGTTGATCTGTGGAGCGAGCATCTGTTGGGGTGTCCTCTGGTAGCTCCCCAGTTTTGCTCTCAGATCTCCATCTTGTTGCAGTGACCATCCTTGGGGACACTGACTTAACCCCATATCACGTCTTGAAGAGCTGGTGGATGACGGAGCCATGGGGGTCTCAAGGGCCAGTGGGGCAAAGACCAGTAGTAGGTAGGTACTATGTGGCATGGCAGGGGGTTTTGGGGGGCCTCCAGCATTACGTTCTCACACTTGCTGCAGCTGGCTCTGTTGGGGCAGCTCAGCTCTAAAGTGGTCAGCAGGGAAATCTGTCCAAATTTCCTTTTGGGAGCCCGTTTTTGATGCTCCTGGACATGAGGGTTGGGTAGTGTGGCATCATGCCGTGGCTTCTTGCCACCACCAAGGGGTTTGCTGCAGGTATTGCCCGCTTGGCCTCAAGAAAGCAAATTTGCTCTTGTCCCCAGGAAGCGAAAGAGCGAGTTGGGGAAGGGGCAGGAGGTACCAAAGGCACCCAGGAAAAAGGCTGCAAAGAGGGATCTGGAGGAAACACCATGCTTGGTGCAGGTACCAGACAGCCCTTGCCATGCCCAGCCATTGGGGTGAGCCTTATGACTGTCCCCAATGTTTTGTGGGCACCAGACCCAGTGAATGAACTTTCTTCTGTCCTGACACGCAGCCCCCTGTGGTAAAAGGGAAGAAGAAATCACCAAAGGTCAAGGAGAAACCGCTGCAGGAAAACATCATCAGCAGGTACCTCCTTGGCTGGAAGGGCTGATGGTGGTAACCAGGGAGGAGATGGCATCAATGGGGCTTTGTGCCCCCCATGCTGGGGTTCCCCATCTGGGTTCACCTTAGTCGTGCACGGGAGCATCATGTCTAACTCTACTCTTCTTGGGCTGCTTTGGTTATCGAAAAAAGTTTTTTATTTGGGAATAACTTGTGTTTTTTCTCTCCCTCCTCTTTGGCCAAGAAGCTCTTTGAAGCAAGAGGCTGCAGAAGGGAGAGGTCTTGGCTCGAGCCTGAGGGATGGGATCCAAGCAGAGGAGGAAGATGCATCTTGTTTGGTATGTGGTGGTCTCTGCAGCGAAAGACTAAGGAGCACCCATGTGGCTTCCTCTCGAGGGACCCATGAGGATGGTGTCCTACAACTTGTGCTGGTGTGCAAGCCCCTAAAAGGGGCTGAATTAAAGAATAAATTGTGTGAAGCCCAGATGTTCTGTGGCATTGGGGTGG